TAAATACTGAAAATTTAACGCATATTTCCCCTGATTTTTTGTAATTTAAAAAAGAAAATGAGTAGTGCTTTTCTTTTTGCATTAAAGAAAGTACATCAGTTTTTTGGGACTTTTGTTTGAATGATTATACAACTAACTTAACCCATAAACAGTAAAACTAGTATTTAACAAAAAAAAAATAAAGCAAACAAGACATTTTACTTACTTTTAAAACTTCGGCTACACTATAAGGAAATTCTGAACTGTGTAGAATTATTGCAACGCGGTTAATCAATTCTTGAGCTGATGACACAAAGGCATTCGATTCGGTATCGCACGAAGCGATACTGGGCATACCCAACGGAAGGGGGTCCCCGACCTCCTTATGGGGTATCTGCGAACCCATTTCAGCACGAGCAGACTACAGATTGAAAAGACTTGATCCACCTGAAACATCGTGGGGTTAAGCAGGGGGACCCTATGTCCCCCGGCTATTCAACCCAGCCCTGGATCAGGATACTTGAGGGACAGGAGGAGTACGCCATTACCATCGGCGCGATAGTACTCAATCAGATGGCGTATGCTGGATGATCTAATACTATTCGCCAGCTCTCAGGAAGAAATGCAAAAACGGATCGAGCGACTGACTATCGGCCTCGGCCGCCTTGGACTTGAGCTTAACGCCCGAAAATGCTGTGTGCTCTCTCCATTCGCGGGGATAAGAGGAAAATTTAGCTTTGTTGATACGGATGTCGATATCCGTCGATGGTACCTGTCTACCAGTTGTGACTGCCGTGTCCGAATTTCGGTACCTCGGAGTCCAGTTCAATTGGAAGGGCGTGGCCCGTACGCCGCGCTCGACCTTGAAAAACTACTGGTCCGTCTCAATCGCGCTGCTCTAAAACCGCAACAAAGCTGATAGTCCTTAAAAAATTCTTGCTCCGCGACTGCAACACCAGCTAACATTCGGCCGACTACATAAGGGCGAGCTCGTCAAAAGGGACAAAAACAGTTCGTCGGGTCGTCCGCAGGTGGCTCCGGCTACCGGCGGATTGTCCAATTCCGCGATACACACCCCGCGAGATTCGGCGGTTTGGGGTGAACTCTAGAGACCTTATACTCGACATTAAAAGAAAGCCGCCTAACCCAGTTGTCGTATGGTGATGAGGAAGATGCCGCGATAGCATCTAATCCCGCCGTGCGAGGTCTGATGTCCTACAAATTCAGAGGATCTGTATGTCATCCCGAGAGGGTCTGGTCGAAGATCTCCACAGGAGATTGGACACCAGGGGCCTACAGGGTATGAGAAGGCAAACCAGCTGTCAACAGCTGGCTGGACCATGCCCCACCAACTTGGCCGGACACGATTTCCAGGAGGCCATTAGGGTGCGCCAGGCTGTATGGGTACGCCATCCCGGCTCAGCCTGGGTGGTCGTTCTGTCGATACCATCTGCAAATGCGGGAGCAATGCTCGTATGAGCCTGCCCCATAGCCCAAGCCTGCAGCATCGTTAGCGGTCTCGGATAAAACGCCACAACAACGTCGTCCCATACGTGGCATAGATCCTGAAAGAAAAGAAATACGACGTAATCATGGAACCTAGGCTTCAGACTGAGCGCGGCCTCCGTAAGCCCGACCTTGTGATCCTGGCCAAGAAGGAAATAATTGTCCTGGATGTACAGATACGACTGACTCTGTCGTATGCACTCTGGATGCATGCAACAGGAAAAGATCGCGAAGTACAATCAGCCGTACGTTCTTGACGCGATCCGAGACCGCTTCGGGCATGGCCTGCCCATCAAAGGTCATTGCTCTCACCTACACTGGCGCGGGCGGATGGCTGCTGAGTCCTACCAGGATTGTGATCACAAACAACTGCCTGATTAAGGTGGCGGCACTTCGGTCCAATCGCCAGGATGATCTTACGTGATACCGCGCGCATGCTATGGGCATATTGGCACGCGCCTGCGGACGGGGCGACACGCCCGACAGCGTCGGCTGAGGTGGCATCATGGACTGGGCTGAGTAGCCCCATGGAACTGCCTGACAAAGCGGAGACAAAGATAGAAAAGGTGTGTAGCATTACCCGCGTGGCGCCAGAAGAACGGATCGGCAAGGGACTAACTCACCTAACCTTCTTAGGTTCTAGGAATTATCCTACCCCCGCCCGAGATGACGCTGAAAAACGCACCCCACCTCCCCGAGGTGGCATTTGGGAAACGCTTCTTTGGGGAGTAACGGCACCCTTAGGTAGGCTGGGAGGGTGGTTGTCGGAGTTGGGAGCGCCTCGTCACCCAATTGGTGACGCGCATGTCGGATCAACGAGATTCCCACTGTCGGTACCTACTATCTAGCGAAACCACAGCCAAGGGAACGGGCTTGGAACGTCGGTGGGGGAAAGAAGACCCTGTTGAGCTCGGCTCGTCCGACTCTGTGAGGAGACAGGTGTAGCATAGGCGGAGACACGCCTTTTCGGCGTTGGGGAGCGCGTTGATCAGGGCTGGGCGGCGGCCGTCGGTTGCCGTGGGGGTAGGTTTCGTTTGGCGGTAGCGGATGCGGTCGGGGACTTGGGTTTTGCGGGCCGGTGGTGGGGGGTTCGCCCTCTCGTCGTCGTTCACTTCGCCTCCTGCTTCCGTTTTCTTCTCTGTTGGGCGGGGCCTCCGCCTCCTCGGTGTGCTGGCGTTTCGTTCGTCCCGGTTTTCCGGCCTTCGCCGTGACCGGCGTCGTTCGGGGTCGTCGAACCTGAAATACCGCCACTTCCGTCGTTTCCTCGCTCACCCGAAAAGGGGGGGTCGGTCGCTCGGCGCCCTCTTGCTAGCGCCAAGGGCGCGGGCTCTGTTGCCGATTGGGGCCCGCGCTCGGACCTTAGCCGGGGACCGTGCCGGGGGGAGTTTGACTGGGGCGGTACATCTCTCAAATAATAACGGAGGTGTCCCAAGGCCAGCTCAGTGCGGACAGAAACCACACATAGAGCAAAAGGGCAAAAGCTCGCTCGATCTCGATTTTCAGTACGAATACGGACCGCGAAAGCGTGGCCCATCGATCCTTTCCGAGCGGAGAGCTCCATTCCGCCGAGAGGTGTCAGAAAAGTTACCACAGGGATAACTGGCTTGTGGCGGCCAAGCGTTCATAGCGACGTCGCTTTTTGATCCTTCGATGTCGGCTCTTCCTATCATTGTGAAGCAGAATTCGCCAAGCGCCTTGGATTGTTCACCACTGACAGGGAACGAGCTGGGTTTAGACCGTCGTGAGACAGGTTAGTTTTTATCCTACCGATCGACACGTTACGTCGGCCGTGGCCACGGCTATCCCGTCCAGTACGAGAGAGGAACCGCGGGATCGGAGCAACGGTTCGCGTGCTCGCTCGAACGAGCGTCGGTGCCACGCTGCCTCCGCGCGATAACGGCTGAAAGCCTATAAGCCGGAACCGCGACCGGTGCCGTCACGGTATTACGAAAGGCGTCTCTTTTCGTTCCGCTGGAGCCTGCCATAGCGGGCGTCGTTGTCGCTAGGGGCGGTTGCGGTCGTCGTGGTCCGCGTCGGTGGCGCTCGTCGTCGCCGTGCGCGTCCGCTACTTCGGCTGTTGTCACCTTTGAACGTGGCGGCGTCTGCGAACGGGCCACCTGATTTGACATCCGCGACAGGCGGATTTTGCCGTCGCCGTCGAATTACGAACCCCTGTGGAGCGTGAGACGAGGATCGCTCGTAGACCACTTGACTTCAGGCTCGGGGGGTGTCGTACTTAGTAGAGCAGCCACCACACTGCGATCTATTGAGACTAAGCCCTCGACCGACTTGATTCGTCCTCCGCGAAGGACGACTCTTACTTAGTTCAAAGTATTCCAACCACTCGGCGATCTATTGAGACTAAGCAGCCCTCGACCGACTCGTCCTCCGCGAGGGACGACGCAGACTTAGTTCAAAGAACTCCGTGTTCCGATATCCTTCGTTCGTATGATATCAGTTTTATTTCTATTTCTGTTTCAACAGACAGGCGAGCGGTTTTTGTAGCGAGGAGAACACTTGCGCGCCAGAACCGACTTTCCTGACAAATCGAAGGTTGTTACACGTACTGCATTCATTTGCCGTAGCCGGACTCCTGTATTCCGCCTTAAGAGGCATGTGCGTAAGTCCCGTAGAAGGCCTTCGTTTACCGTAGCCGGACTGCCGTAATGCGCCTTGGAAGGTGAGTGCGTAAAGTGCGTAATTTTGTAGAAGGCCTTCGTTTGCCGTAGCCGGACTCCCGTAATGCGCATTACGAGGCATGTGCGTAAGTCCCGTAGAATCGTTAAATGCCTAAGTTCGTCGAATGCCTTCGTTTGCCGTAGCCGGACGTGCGTCGTGCCTGAACAGTGGTCATGGGACCACTAGCCCGAAGTAGTGCCTAAGTTCGGTGGCCTTCGTTTACCGTAGCCGGACTCCCGTAATGCGCCTTAGAAGGTAAGTGCGTAAAGTGCGTAATTTTGTCGAAGGCCTTCGTTTGCCGTAGCCGGACTCCCGTAATGCGCCTTAAGAGTCATGTGCGTAAGTCCCGTAGAAGGCCTTCGTTTGCCGTAGCCGGACTGCCGTAATGCGCCTTGGAAGGTGAGTGCGTAAAGTGCGTAATTTTGTCGAAGGCCTTCGTTTGCCGTAGCCGGACTCCCGTAATGCGCATTACGAGGCATGTGCGTAAGTCCCGAAGAATCGTTAAATGCCTAAGTTCGTCGAATGCCTTCGTTTGCCGTAGCCGGACGTGCGTCGTGCCTGAACAGTGGTCATGGGACCACTAGCCCGAAGTAGTGCCTAAGTTCGGTGGCCTTCGTTTACCGTAGCCGGACTCCCGTAATGCGCCTTAGAAGGTAAGTGCGTAAAGTGCGTAATTTTGTCGAAGGCCTTCGTTTGCCGTAGCCGGACTCCCGTAATGCGCCTTAAGAGGCATGTGCGTAAGTCCGAAGTTGTAGAAGGCCTTCGTTTGCCGTAGCCGGACTCCCGTAATGCGCATTACGAGGCATGTGCGTAAGTCCCGAAGAATCGTTAAATGCCTAAGTTCGTCGAATGCCTTCGTTTACCGTAGCCGGACTGCCGTAATGCGCCTTGGAAGGTGAGTGCGTAAAGTGCGTAATTTTGTCGAAGGCCTTCGTTTGCCGTAGCCGGACTCCCGTAGTGCGCCTTAAGAGGCATGTGCGTAACTCCCGTAGAAGGCCTTCGTTTACCGTAGCCGGACTGCCGTAATGCGCCTTGGAAGGTGAGTGCGTAAAGTGCGTAATTTTGTCGAAGGCCTTCGTTTGCCGTAGCCGGACTCCCGTAATGCGCATTACGAGGCATGTGCGTAAGTCCCGAAGAATCGTTAAATGCCTAAGTTCGTCGAAGGCCTTCGTTTGCCGTAGCCGGACTCCCGTAATGCCTGAACAGAGGTCATGGGACCGTAAGTCCCTAAGTTCGGCCGGCCTTCGTTTACCGTAGCCGGACGCCCGTAATGCGCCTTAGAAGGTAAGTGCGTAAAGTGCGTAATTTTGTCGAAGGCCTTCGTTTGCCGTAGCCGGACGCCCGTAATGCGCCTTAAGAGGCATGTGCGTAAGTCCCGTAGAAGGCCTTCGTTTGCCGTAGCCCGGACTCCCGTAATGCGCATTATGAGGCATGTGCGTAAGTCCCGAAGAATCGTTAAATGCCTAAGTTCGTCGAATGCCTTCGTTTACCGTAGCCGGACTGCCGTAATGCGCCTTGGAAGGTGAGTGCGTAAAGTCCCGCGTAATTTTTGTCGAAGGCCTTCGTTTGCCGTAGCCGGACTCCCCGTAGTGCGCCGTAAGAGGCATGTGCGTAACTCCGTAATTTTGTAGAAGGCCTTCGTTTACCGTAGCCGGACTGCCGTAATGCGCCTTGGAAGGTGAGTGCGTAAAAGTGCGTAATTTTGTCGAAGGCCTTCGTTTGCCGTAGCCGGACTCCCGTAATGCGCATTACGAGGCATGTGCGTAAGTCCCGTAGAATCGTTAAATGCCTTGTTCGTCGAATGCCTTCGTTTGCCGTAGCCGGACGTGCGTCGTGCCTGAACAGTGGTCATGGGACCACTAGCCCGAAAGAAGTGCCTAAGTTCGGTGGCCTTCGTTTACCGTAGCCGGACTCCCCGTAATGCGCCTTAGAAGGTAAGTGCGTAAAGTGCGTAATTTTGTCGAAGGCCTTCGTTTGCTGTAGCCGGACCCCGTAATGCGCCTTAAGAGGCATGTGCGTAAGTCCCGTAGAAGGCCTTCGTTTGCCGTAGCCGGACTCCCGTAATGCGCATTACGAGGCATGTGCGTAAGTCCCGAAGAATCGTTAAATGCCTAAGTTCGTCGAATGCCTTCGTTTACCGTAGCCGGACTGCCGTAATGCGCCTTGGAAGGTGAGTGCGTAAAAGTGCGTAATTTTGTCGAAGGCCTTCGTTTGCCGTAGCCGGACTCCCGTAGTGCGCCTTAGAGGCATGTGCGTAACTCCGTAGAAGGCCTTCGTTTACCGTAGCCGGACTGCCGTAATGCGCCTTGGAAGGTGTGTGCGTAAAGTGCTTAATTTTGTCGAAGGCCTTCGTTTGCCGTAGCCGGACTCCCGTAATGCGCCTTACGAGGCATGTGCGTAAGTCCCGTAGAATCGTTAAATGCCTAAGTTCGTCGAATGCCTTCGTTTGCCGTAGCCGGACGTGCGTCGTGCCTGAACAGTGGTCATGGGACCAAGTCCGCCCGGAAGTAGTGCCTAAGTTCGGTGGCCTTCGTTTACCGTAGCCGGACTCCCGTAATGCGCCTTAGAAGGTAAGTGCGTAAAGTGCGTAATTTTGTCGAAGGCCTTCGTTTGCCGTAGCCGGACTCCCGTAATGCGCCTTGGAAGGCATGTGCGTAAGTCGTAATTTGTAGAAGGCCTTCGTTTGCCGTAGCCGGACTCCCGTAATGCGCATTACGAGGCATGTGCGTAAGTCCCGAAGAATCGTTAAATGCCTAAGTTCGTCGAATGCCTTCGTTTACCGTAGCCGGACGTGCGTCGTGCCTGAACGTGGTTGGAAGGACCACTGCGTAAAGTGCGTAATTTTGTCGAAGGCCTTCGTTTTGCCGTAGCCGGACTCCGTAGTGCGCCGAAGGTAAGAGGCATGTGCGTTAACTCCCGTAGAAGGCCTTCGTTTACCGTAGCCGGACTGCCGTAATGCGCCTTGGAAGGTGAGTGCGTAAAGTGCGTAATTTTGTCGAAGGCCTTCGTTTTGCCGCAGCCGGACTCCGTAATGCGCATTACGAGGCATGTGCGTAAGCCCCGTAGAATCGTTAAATGCCTAAGTTCGTCGAATGCCTTCGTTTGCCGTAGCCGGACGTGCGTCGTGCCTGAACAGTGGTCATGGGACCACCAGCCCGAAGTAGTGCCTAAGTTCGGTGGCCTTCGTTTACCGTAGCGGACTCCCGTAATGCGCCTTAGAAGCGTAAGTTAGAAGCCTTCGTGCCGTAGCGGACTCCGTAATGCGCCTTAAATGCCGTTTTTCGTCGAAGGCCTTCGTTTGCCGTAGCCGGACTCCCGTAATGCGCATTAAGAGGCATGTGCGTAAGTCGTTAATGCCTAAGTTCGTCGAAGGCCTTCGTTTGCCGTAGCCGGACTGCCGTAATGCGCATTAAGTGCGAGGCAGGCCTTCGTTTGCCGTAGCCGGAGTCCCGAAGAATCGTTAAATGCGTAAGTTCGTCGAATGCCTTCGTTTACCGTAGCCGGACTGCCGTAATGCGCCTTGGAAGGTGAGTGCGTAAAGTGCGTAATTTTGTCGAAGGCCTTCGTTTGCCGTAGCCGGACTCCGTAGTGTGCGCATTACGAGGCATGTGCGTAATGTGCGTTAATCCGTAGAAGGCCTTCGTTTAGCCGGACGTGCGTCGTGCCTGAACAGTGGCGGACTAGCCCGTAATGCTCAAGCGGTGGCCTTGGAAGGTGAGTGCGCCGTAAAGTGCGTAATTTTGTCGAAGGCCTTCGTTTGCCGTAGCCGGACTCCCGTAATGCGCATTACGAGGCAAGTGCGTGCCTTCCCGTAGCCGGACTCCGTAATGCGCATTACGAATGCGTAAGTCCCGAAGAATCGTTAAATGCCTGTTCGTTGCCTTCGTTTACCGTAGCCGGACTGCCGTAATGCGCCTTGGAGTGCCTAAAAGTTCAATTTTGTCGTTCGTTTGCCGTAGCCGGACTCCCGTAATGCGCCGTAAGAGCATGCGTAAGTCCCGGTAGAAGGCCTTCGTTTACCGTAGCCGGACTGCCGTTGCGGTGGCCTTCGTTTCGAACCGTAGCCGGACTCCGTAATGCGCATTACGAGGCATGTGCGTAAGTCCCGTAGAATCGTTAAATGCCTAATTTCGTCGAATGCCTTCGTTTGCCGTAGCCGGACGTGCGTCGTGCTGAACAGTGGCGTGGGACCATTTTGTTCGGTGGCCTGCGAATTTCCGTAGCCGGCCTTCGTTGGTCCGTGCGTAAACTGCGTAATTTTGTCGAAGGCCTTCTAGCCGGACTCCCGTAATGCGCCTTAAATTGCGTTCGGAAGGCCTTCGTTTGCCGTAGCCGGACTCCCGTAATGCGCATTACGAGGCATGTGCGTAAGTCCCGAAGAATCGTTAAATGCCTAAGTTCGTCGAATGCCTTCGTTTACCGTAGCCGGACTGCCGTAATGCGCCCTTGGAAGGTGAGTGCGTAAAGTGCGTAATTTGTCGAAGGCCTTCGTTTGCCGTAGCGGACTCCCGTAGTGCGCCGTAAGAGGCATGTGCGTAACTCCCGTAGAAGGCCTTCGTTTACCGTAGCCGGACTGCCGTAATGCGCCTTGGAAGGTGAGTGCGTAAAAAGTGCGTAATTTTGTCGAAGGCCTTCGTTTGCCGTAGCCGGACTCCCGTAATGCGCATTACGAGGCATGTGCGTAAGTCCCGTAGAATCGTTAAATGCCTAAGTTCGTCGAATGCCTTCGTTTGCCGTAGCCGGACGTGCGTCGTGCCTGAACAGTGGTCATGGGACCACCAGCCCGAAGTAGTGCCTAAGTTCGGTGGCCTTCGTTTACCGTAGCCGGACTCCCGTAATGCGCCTTAGAAGGTAAGTGCGTAAAGTGCGTAATTTTGTCGAAGGCCTTCGTTTGCCGTAGCCGGACCCCCGTAATGCGCCTTAAGAGGCATGTGCGTAAGTCCCGTAGAAGGCCTTCGTTTGCCGTAGCCGGACTCCCGTAATGCGCATTACGAGGCATGTGCGTAAGTCCCGAAGAATCGTTAAATGCCTAAGTTCGTCGAATGCCTTCGTTTACCGTAGCCGGACTGCCGTAATGAACAGTGGAAGGTGAGTGCGTAAAGTGCCTAATTTTGTCGAAGGCCTTCGTTTGCCGTAGCCGGACTCCCGTAATAGTAGCGCGCCGTAAGAGGCAAATGCGTAACCAGCCCGAAGAAGGCCTTCGTTTACCGTAGCCGGACTGCCGTAATGCGCCTTTGAAGGTGAGTGCGTAAAGTGCGTAATTTTGTCGAAGGCCTTCGTTTGCCGTAGCCGGACTCCCGTAATGCGCATTACGAGGCATGTGCGTAAGTCCCGTAGAATCGTTAAATGCCTAAGTTCGTCGAATGCCTTCGTTTGCCGTGCGTCGTGCCGAACAGTGGTCATGGGTCGTGCCTGAACAGTTCCCCAGAAGGCCTTCGTTTACCGTAGCCGGACCCCGAATGCCCTTAGAAGGTAAGTGCGTAAAAGTTTGTCGAAGGCCTTCGTTTGCCGTAGCCGGACTCCGTAATGCGCATTAGAAGGTCGGTGGCCTTCGTTTACTGTAGCCGGACTCCACGCGCATTACGAGTGGTAATTTTTGTAAGTCCCGAAGAATCACAAATGCCTAAGTTTGTCGAAGGCCTTCGTTTGCCGTAGCCGGACTGCCGTAATGCGCCTTAAGGTGAGGCGTAAAGTGCGTAATTTTGTCGAAGGCCTTCGTTTGCCGTAGCCGGACTCCCGTAATGCGCGCCTTAAGAGGCCGCGTAACTCCCGTAGAAGGCCTTCGTTTACCGTAATGACTGCCGTAATGCGCCATTGAGTGCGTAAAGTGCGTAATTTTGTCGAAGGCCTTCGTTTGCCGTAGCCGGACTCCCGTAATGCGCATTACGAGGCATGTGCGTAAAGAATCGTTAAATGCCTAAGTTCGTCGAATGCCTTCGTTTGCCGTAGCCGGACGTGCGTCGTGCCTGAACAGTGGTCATGGGGACCACTAGCCCGAAGTAGTGTTCGGTGGCCTAAGTTCGGTGGCCTTCGTTTTAGGCCTTCGTAGCCGGACTCCCGTAATGCGCCTTAGAAGGTAAGTGCGTAATTTTGTCGAAGGCCTTCGTTTGCCGTCCCGCACGACTCCAATAGTGCGTCCCGAAGGACTTTAATTCCCGTAATGCGTGCATTCGAGGCGCAAGTCCCGGAAGTCCAGGAATGTTTAGCTGAATCGTTGAAGAATCGTTAAGTTAACTCCCGTAGTTCGAAGGCCTTCGTTTACCGTAGAAGGCCTGCCGTACCGTAGCCGGCATGTACGCCGGAAGGTGAGTGCGTAAAGTGCGTAATTTTGTCGAAGGCCCGTTTGACAGCGGACATACGCATTACGAGGCACTAGTCCCGTAGAATCGTTAAATGCCTAAGTTCGTCGAATATTTTGTGTGGACGTGCGTCGTTTGAACAGTGGTCATGGGACACTAGCCCGAGTTCGGTGGCCTTCGTCAGCTGTAGCCGGAATGCGCCTTGCGCGCCTTAGTGCGTAAAGTGCAATTTTGTAGAAGGCCTTCGTTTGCCGTAGCCGGACGCGCGTCGCCCGCCTCACAGTGATCGGCGAAATTAATTTTTTGACTGTTGCGATTGATTTGGAAAAAAATTCAAAAATAAAATTCAAATTTCAAATTAAACCTATTGATTATTGTTTTTATGTCATTTCTAAGCTTTTGGTATAGTTTTGTTACTAAATAGTATGAAATTTTGCAAAAAGCAAAGGTTGTTAATGAACAGGTTTCAAAGAAAAGTTGGTAGGAAGTTCGAGCTTTGTCCGGTTAGCGTCGCGGAGACGGCAACTTGCGCCTCGCGCAGGTTTAGGGCCTCAGCCTTTCGCCACGCGTATTGGCGTTTTGTTTTCTCTCGCTTTCGCCTAACCGCTTTTATCCATGGACTTCTTTGTTTTTTCACCACCGCGCCCCTAACGCCGTCATGCCGCTCTTAAGTCGATTTTGCCTTTGGCTTATATTCCTTCGAGTAGGGAAAGCGTATTCGCACAATCCTCCCAGGAGAACGCTGCCTCTCCTCGCGATTATCGGTCTCTATAGGGAACCGTTCGAATACTCTACCCAGGAGGTCGAAACCTCTTGGCTCGCTCCCTCGCCGCATCTGTCTCTGCTTCAGATGTAACCTTTATCGCTCGCCGTACATCGTAAAGGCCCATCGCGGGAACGGTTTTCCCCTTGTTCGTCGGGTTTTTGTCTGTTTCCCCTGGGCGGTTTCTTCTTTTCCCTCCCGTTGTGATTTTTTGGTTTTTCCCCTTTCCCTCGGGGAAAAACCCGGGTTTTGGCAAAAACCAAAGGGAATTTTTCCCCTTAATCGTGCTTTAAGGATGTTTTGAAGCCTTCGATGGTTCGAACGGCTTTGTTTGTTGCGTCGGAATTGTTCCCCTTTCGGGGTGTTTCGCGGCCCCGTTTGGCCCGCCCCCCCTTTTTTTGCTTTTACGGGGAAAAGCCGCCGCCGCCTGTTCTTCCCGTTTTCTTTTTTACCGCGGGAAAAGGGCCCCCCGGCCCCTTGTATTCCCCCTCCTTCCCAAAGCCCTGCCTTCCTCTGGGGGGCCCCCCCCTCGCCTACCGTAAAAATGTTTGGGGGGTTTTACCCCGCCCCCGGTTCCCCCCTTTTTTTTTTGGGCCGGACCCCCCCGCTCCCGGGGACCCCGGGTTTTACCTTTCCCCAAAATTTTTGGGCGGAAATTTCCCCCGCCCTTTCCTTTCCCCCTTTTTTGCTCCCCGGAAAAACCCGGGGGCCCCTTAAAACCCCCTTTTATCGCGTTTCCGCCCCCCTGCCCTCTTTGGCCCCCGTTCGCCGGGGTGGGCCTGCTTGGGTTTTCCCCCGCCCCCGTTCCCCCCGGCCCCCCGGGGGTTCCCGTGGCCCCCCCCTTCGGGTTTTCCCCCTTTTTTCCCACTCGGGTTTTCCCGCAAACCTGAGCCCTTGGAGTAAATTTTGGGGGGCCCTGCCTTTCCCCGGCGCCTTTGCGGGGGGTTCCCGGAGCCTTTTTTCTTGGCGCCCTGCGGGCACCACCCTCGGGAAATCCTCTTTCCGGGCACGTCGTTTTGCCCTGCGGTGCGCCCCGACGTCCTTCGGATCCTGGAAAAGTCTTTGGGGTCGGGAACCCGCCTTTTTCCCTTTTCCGGGGGGCCCCCCTCCCCCCCCCCGGCCCAAACCCCAGGGTAAAAAATTTTTAAATAAAGCCGGGGTGCCGCCTCGCCGCCGGCTGCCGCGGGTGGGAAAAACCGCCCCCGCCGCGCCCCAAAAGCTGGCGGGCGCGTCCTCCCCCCGTTCGTCTTTGTCGTTGCCGTTGGCGGCAACGGGCCCGGGGTCCGGTTGTCCCCCGGTATCCCTTTTTCGCCCGGGTTTAATCCCCCCGGGGGGCCGGGGCCGCCCTCCCGGAACCCGGCCTAAACCTCGGCCGTTCCCCCCCGGGAGGGGTTTGGGGAAATTTAAGGGAAAACATACACAAGGGAGGGGCGGCCCCCCTCCGCCGGGGGGAAAACGGGTTGGGGCCCCCATTTAAGGGGACCTCCCCCCGCCCCGGGGCGTCTCGGCCGGCGCGTTTTTCCCCGGGGAAAAGGGGGGTGCGGTTGGGGAAATCACTGGCCCCCTCGCATGGCCCGGGCCCAGGGTCTCCGGGCCCTTTTTCCCGTCGACGGCTTTGGGGGGCCACCGTGGGTTCAAAGGGTCGGGAAAGGGGGACGGGGGAAAGAAAACGCACCCCCAAAGGAAACGCGGCGCGCTTCCCCCGCACGGGGGGGGGGAAAAAACGCGGGGGGCCCGGGCCCCGCCGGGGGGGTCACTTCTCGTTCGGGCCCCGGGGGCGCTGTGCCGCCCGCGGTTTTGCCGGGCTTAATTGGTTTTTCTTAAAAGCCGGCGCTCTTCTTTCCTTCCCCCCGGGGGCCGGCCCTCTCCGGTTTTTGGTCGTTGCGCTTCCCGGGCCCTTTTGCGGTTCCCCGCTTCCCGGGGGGCCGCCCCGGGGGTAAAGGGGATTTGGGGTTTTTGGGTTCGCCCAGGGGGGGTTTTTTCGATGCCCCGGTGATGGGGGCGTTACGTGGGCCCGGGCCTTAAGGGGGCGGGCCCCAAGGGTTTTTTGGGCCCAGGGGTTAGTGGAGGCGTCGCCAAAGGCAGGCGTGCGTTTCCCCCTCCGCGGCCCCCGGGTTACTGCCGCTGTTCACCGCGGCGGCCCCCTTTTCCCCCTTCCCCTTCCCTGGCCCGCCCCTTTCCTGCGGGAACCGGTCCCTTTTCGGGTGGGCAGCCCCTTCCCTTTTGGGGGGTTTCCGGGGGAGCCTTTGAAAAAATTGATCTAAACGGGTAAAGTTGCACGTAAAATGGGGATGGGAAGGGCCTTCTGTTGTGGTTCCCCGGGGGAGCGATCGGGGGGTCGGGGCCCCAAATCGGAAAGGTGAAAATTTGGGTTGCAAGCCTTTCACGAGGGGGGGGGCCCTTTTCCTTCAGGCAGGGAGGTTGAGAAGCCTCGAGCGACCCAAACGATGCCCGACCGGGCCGCCGGCTTTAAAAAGGGGGGGAAACCCCGGGGGTTCGGCCGGGGGAAAAGGTTTAAAACCCAAAAATTCGGGGGAAACCCCGGGGCCCCCCTTTGGGGAAACCGGGAAACCCGTCCCCACACCTGGTTGACACAGCCTTTTTCCATTCCCTGGGGGTGGTGGGCCCCCTTTTTTGGGGGGACCCCGGGGTTCCCTCGAACGGGCCCCCTCTCGGCCGTTTGGGTTTTTTTGCCCCCGGCGTTCATGCGGGGCCGATCGTTTTTGGGTTTTGGGGAAAGGGGGGGAAACCCCCCGGGCGGGGGAAAATTTTTTGTGGTTGGGGCCCCCCCCCGGGGGGGGGAGACCCGGGGGACCCCTTAACCACCCCGTGTAGGGCGGGGAACCCCCGAAAGGGGTTGGGGGCCCCCCCAAAAAAAGGGGGGGCCGCCCTCCTCTCCCCCGGAACGGTGGGGGGTCCCCGGATCTGGGGCCCCCCCCGGGCGTCGCGCGCGACCCCGCCCCCAAAAACCTCTGTTTCCCCCCGGCGCCCTGGAAAGCCCTTTTAAAAAAAACGGGTTTTCCCGGGCCCCGCGGAAAGGTCATTATGATGCCCGCGATGGGGGTTTTTCCCTTCCAAACCCCCAACGGGGTTCGCCCCCCCCTTGGGGACCTGCGTTTGGGGGTGTAAAAACCGGGGTTTCCCCAAAATGGGGGGGGTTTTATTCTCGCGCGGGTTGGGGGTTCCTGTTTTCCGGGACATAAAAAAATGGCCGGACCTCCAACCCCCGCCCCCCGGGCCGCCGCCCCCCACCGCCGCAAAAAATTCCCTTTTGCAGGGGGCGCCCCCCGAACCCCCCCTTTTCCTCCCCGGGGGCCCCCCGTTCGGCCCGGAAAAAGGGGGGGGGGGGTTTGGGGGGATTCAGGGCCCCGCTCGCCCCAGAGGAGCGGGCCCCCCAGACCCCCCCCGGAGTTGCTGGTCATTCCTCCTGGGCCCCGTTAGCCCGCTTTTTTTCCGGGCAGTCCGGTTTTCCCCCGCGCCAAAGGCCTCGGCCCCCCTGGGCAATTTTTAAAAACCCGTCCCAAAAATTCCCCAAAAAAACCCACGGGGTCCCCGCTTCATAAAAAGCGGGCCCCGCGGGGAAAGGAAAATTGGGGAAAGAAAAGGGGAAACCAAAACCCCCCCTTCTGGGCCCCGTCCCCCGGGGGAAAAGTGCTTTCCTGGGGGAGGTTACCGTTTCCCCCCTGTTTTTTCTTTGAAAACCCCCCCCCGGGCCGGGACGCGAGGGGCCTCTCTTTTTTTCCCCCCCCCCCCCGGGGGTCCTCCCCCCCAAAAAAGCCTAGTTCAAAGTTGAGGAAAAGAACTGGAGAATTTTTTTGGAGGGGAAACCCCCGGGCGTTGAACCGTTCCCCCCGCCGGGTTTCGCCCCCGGGGGGCCCTTTTTTTTTCCCGGCCGCCCCCGGGCCGGCCCAAAACGCCCGCGAACTTTTGGGGGGGCCCCCCGGTTCCCAAACGGCGGGAACCCGGGGGGCCCCGCCGCCCCCGCAATGGTTCGGGTTGGCGCATGGGGCGGGCCCTCTTTTTCCCCCCCCTTTTTTTCCCCCGATCCCGCCCCGTGGCCTTGGGGGGCGGCTCCCCGTCCTCAGGTTTCCCCGGAAAGCACCCCTTGGGGTGCCCCGTAAAAACGGGCACCGTGTACGACCGTAAAGGGAAAAGTTTGGGGAAAAAGGGGGGCCGCCGGGGCCCCGGGGGGCCGCCCCCGTCCGGGGTTCGTGCTGGGTGGCTAAACCGGGGGTTGTTCCCGGGTTTTCCGGCGGAGCGCCCTCCCCCGCGGTCTTCCCCCCCCCCTTTTTCGCCGGCGCCACGGGGGGTCGCCCCAAAAAGGGGGCGCGGCGGGCCCGCTTCGGGCCGCCGTCTTTGGGGTTTGGTCGTGGGGTGGACCGGGCCGCCCCGGGGCCGTGGCTTTCTTATTTTGCGGGCTTTTTCCCGGGTCCTTCCGGGGGGGGGGGCCCCTTTTTTGGGGGGGCCCCCGCCTTCCCCCTCCTCGTCCGCCCCTTCCCGGGTTTTTGGGGGGGGTTAAGGAAGTGGGAAACCTTTTTTTGTCCGGTGGCGGGGTCCCCCCTTTCCCCCCTTTTTCCCCCCCTGGGTTTCCGGGACATGTTTGCGGGGGTTAAACCCGGGGGGCCCCCCGGGGGGGGGTCGCTCCGCTCGCTTTCCCCGCCGGGCCCAAAATTTGGGGGCCCGGGGGGTGGCGGGATCGGGTTTTGGCCCCTCCCCCGGGGGCACGTCTCAACCCCCAAAAGCCAGGCCGAGGGTCCCCCTTCCCAGGTAGGGCGAAAAGAAACCCCGGAAAGCGCGGGGAGGCCCGGACTGGGATTCCCGGCGGGGCGGGGATTTCTGTCCTTGTCCTCCTGCCCCTTTCCCCGGCGCCCGCGTCCCCTCCGGCCACCTTTTTTTCCGCCCCCCGCTGATTTTCCCCCGGGGAAAATGCCAAGGGGCCGGGGCCTGGGGGGAAAACCCCGGGGTTTTTGCGGGGAAATCCCCATCGGGTATCCCCAAACCCGCCGATTTTGGCCGATTTGGAGGGGCGGGGGATCACCCCCGGGCGGTTTTTTGGCCTTTTTTGGGGGGGGGGGGACCCGGGGGGAACCCCCCCGGTAGGAGAACCGGGGGCCGGTGGAGGGGCCCCGCGGGAAAATCATGGAAGGGGGGGCGAAGACCAACGGGTTTGGGGCCCGGTTTCCCCGGATGGGGGCCCCCCAAATTTTCCGGAAAGGGCGGGGCCCAGGGGGTTGGCCTCACCACCCCGAATGGAACGGGGGGCCCCCCCCCAAAAAGGGGTATTCCCCGCCTTGTGCTGCGGCGCGAAAAAAATTTGGGGCCTGGGCCAGGGGAAACCGGGCGGGGGGCCAAAGCCCCCCAAAGGGGCCTCGGAGCCCTGGCCCCCCAAGGGGGCGGCGAAAAACGGAGGGGCCCGGCGGGCCTGGGGTGGTCCCCCGGAATCCCCGGCCCCCTGGATCCTGGGCGCGGGGAAACGGACCGTCCGGGGGCCCCCGGGGAAAAGAAGGGCGCCAGATCCGGACGGGGGGGGGGGCAGGAAGTGGGGGCGAAATTGTCGGCTTTTAAAAAATGAAACGTTCAGAACTTATTCACAAATTACTAACCACTGCCAGACAACACTTCAGAATTCTCAAACGTCTCGACAACAAAGCGTGTAAAAAAAAATGAAATGAATAAATAAAGGATACTTCTATCAGGGATCGTAGGATTTTATAAGCATAAATGTAATGACTACTTGCTTGACAAAATTTGCACACGTACAATATTCCTGATTTGGGTGTGCACGGCTTTTATTTACCTTGAAAATGGAAGCCATTTTTTAAAACCCAGATCATTAGAGATGAATAAAGCCCCCAACTGTCAACTCCAGGTCTGCCAATTTTTAAATAATTTTAAATAAATTGTCGAGCTTTCTCCCTTAAAAGAGTTGCCGAGTGAAAATACTTCCTATTTCGTCCGCATGTTTTTTTGTAAACGCAGCAAATTTCACAGCACTTATTTCGATTAACCGCGTTACTTAAAACGATTACTTCGCTACTTATGTAACCGTAAAATCGTCTTCTTGGTTGACAATAAGTGACAGTTGGCTATAAAAAGGCACTGTTGATTATTTACGGCTAATTTGTTTTAATAATGCACTTTCTATTGTTTGCGTCACGTGGCAATAACTGTAAGTAAAATGGTACACTAAAATAAGTAACCGAATAATCGTTTAAAGTTCTCTGAATATCAGTGCCTTTTGAAAACCGTCTCATCTCAGCCATGATTCGGTTTAACGTTTTTCGTGAGCAGATTTTTACCGAATGGGGATTTATTTACAAAGAAAACTTTGGTTTGAAGCGGCTTTATTTGTCGAGAATCATGTTTCCACTGGAAATAACTGCTGTAAATTTGAAGAAAGGAGTTAATTTGGGAGTTTTTTTAATTTTTGGATGTTTTATTTTTAATCCTTCCGTTTCTCCTTGATTTTGCTGAAATCTTTCTGTTTTTCCGAAGTTATAGAATAGAGTTTAACCCGTATACACCAATTTTCAGTATCTAATTATCATACTATTCTGATTTAGTGAATTTTATTGCATAAAAAAAGTCGAGTAGATTTACTGTGTATTTACTCTTGCTGATAACAAATTTTGTACAGCCTAAACACAAAGTGGATTCAAATTGTTTTTTTTGTAAAGACTATTGCTGATTGGTCAGTATATATGTAAAATAGCAACACGCAGTAGTTTTTACAGTAGTGAGTTGACCGCCAAAATTTATAAACGGGTTCGTGAGGTTAGCACGTGACTAGAAAACAAAAAAATTCAATGCACGAGCACCTTTTTGAGCATATGATTAGCAATTGCCAAACTATTCCACGACGGCTGCATCATTGAAGTAGAAAGTTAAAATTTCAATTTCAACACTAAAACAACTTCATTGTTTAATTCAAGTTAAAATATCCAACTCAAGAAGGCGTGACCAATGGTCTCGACTTCCCCAATACAGCGGCGGCATTTTGGAGATTTCTCCAAGCCAGGTGAACAAAGTCTCCTGGCGACCCAGAGGGCCCCACGAATCACCAGCCAGGTGGGTGATGCCTCATCGTTATTGAAGCATTTCAACCCAGGGGTCCAAGGCCATATCGAGCGAGCCTCCTTCTTCGTAAGACCGAGTTCGTCAATCAGATCATCCTGACCCCCCCCCCAACTAACAGTTGATACAATGCCCTACGAAACAACGGTTGGGCATTGGAGAGGCCATCCGACGCCCGTAAGAGGTGTTTCAGGACACGACGACATTCGCGGTAGATGGAGCATTCGGCTCGGGGTGTACGACTGGCCTTTTCCTCGCTCGAGTGCACACTTCTCAGGATAGGAAATGGCTACGGACGTCTTCCTTCCAGAAGGCGCCCTCCTCATCCGATCCGAGACACATTCGGTCTAGAAAGGCGATGCGAAGTATATATTGACGAATCTCAATGCTAGGCATACCCAGACCGCCCTCAGAGGGATGAAGGCAACAGATCTCCCGAGATACCATAGCGGCCTTGTCTTTCCACAAGAAAGAGAACAAAAGCTGAACTAATAAAATTAGTCTGGTATACAGAAGTGGAAGTACAGAGAGTTGGTAAAGGAGAATCGGGTTGATGTGTGAAACATATACTTCCGACCTCCCCTTCAAGGAAAGCTTCCTCCGAGACTTCAGATTAACCGCGATCTCGGCCTTCCCTTGTACCTCCGACTAATTCATTTCCAACTGGAGATCAGGACCGAACCAGACGCCGAGTATCTTGCAAGGAAATTCCGCGCAGGACCGGATTCGCCTTTAACTTGCGAAGGAATTGTTCCAACGCAAGAACGTAAAGCAAAGGCAAAAGCGGACAACCTTGACGAATGGAGCAAGACAATACGAAAGGCCCCGATCTTACCCCATTCACCTCCACCAGCGCACCGGGGGTCCGAACCGGCCACCGAAAGAACAGCCTCCAGAAACCGAAGGTCAACCCTATCGAAGGGCTTGGACTGATCTAAATTGATCAGCGCGGCTTCACTGTCGACTTGTTCTAAGATCAGGCGTACCATATGCAGGTTATCCGGAATAGTCCTGCCCTTCACAGCACAAGTCTATTCGGAACCAATCAGACTAGACAGGACAAGCTGCAAACGGTTGGCTAAGATCTTCGCCAAAATCTTTAACTCTGTGTTTAACATAGTCAAAGGGCAAAAGTTATTTAACCCATCACCACCGTTCTTGTCCTTACGCAGCAACTTGATCACACCCCTGGTGAAGCGTTGGGGTATAGACCCCTGCTTCATCCAGTTGTTGAAGATCAGCTCCAGCAAAGGAACAATCACGGGCGACTGCCTCAAGTAAATTTCGAAGGGGAAGACCATCTGGTCCCGAAGATTTATCCAGGCCAACCTGTTTCAGCGCATCCCAG